TCAACCCGATCACAGGGGAGTCTTCATTCGAGCTACAGCATCCCCAGAAGCCCAAGCCTGACAGTACCAAGCCCGAGGATAGTTCCAAGGACCCTTGCTCATGACCACAACATGCTATCACTTGTATACCAAAGTTGTGCCACTATCTTCTACGACTTGCGTTGCCTACGTGTTCCCTTATGGTACCGAACTCTGCCTGACTCACAGGAATCGCAGCCGTCCAAGGGAATGGTATACTAACGCCACCTTTTGCGGGTAGATCCTCTGTCGATCGATGACGAGGACCCAACACGTAAAATGTCCACACTTGTCACTCGCTCAACTGTAATGTTCACTCTAGTGACAGTACCATCGACAATATCATGGCTAGCCTCGCTGGGCAAGAAGTCCCTTGAACCAACAGCAATCGATAGAGGCGGGAGATGGAAGACCTGTTCTTGCTGTCTGCGATCGATCGACAGGAGATACCCGAAGCCCGACCATTCTGTAGCGTATATACTCATGGAAACGTCTGTCGAGAGTGGATGAGCGCTAGGAGGGTATGAATCATGATGATGGAGTATCTCTGACCAGAGAGTACTGTCTGGTAGGTCCTCGTTAAAGGCTGGGCACAGAAGCGGCCTCTGTCGTGTGAAATCATGGCGGCAAAGCACAGGGCAATTCCTAATCACCAAGCAGCTGTTATTTGACGAGCTTCATTAACGTGTCGGTTTCCATTCTTTCAGCTTGGTGCATAGTTACTGGTCAATAGCCGAGACGTGAATGGAATTCAGTAGAGGGAAGATTGATAGTTTTTCATGTTCTTCCATCTGGGGACCAAGCATGATGGATCGCGCATTGATATTTACCGAGACACTCCAGTACGGCTACTGGGATATGCCAACGAGCTGGGAGAGTCCTTCAAGTACCTTATCACAAGGCCTGTGTATCTCAGCACATACGGCATCGCCGTAGCATATGTATAACGTAGTGGTGGTTCTGAAGGGAATATACTCTCTTTGGTAGGTGCTTGCCGACACCTTGGACAAGACCAAGCGAACTGAGCGGAAGGCGCAGCAGTGGAGGGTCGCCGTCGACACATTGGGGTGGCAGATGCTGGCTAGTGTTGCCGTTCCTGGTATGGTCATCAACAGGGTGGTGTGGGCCACGAGGAAAGTCATGCAGGAGAAGAAACTGACCAGTACCCTTTCCCGGCCTGGACTGACAACTTATGCGGGTGTGTTTAGATAAACTCCTACCAACGTACATAGGCTTGGCGTGTATACCTATGATAGTAAGCTGCTCTATGCAACAGATGAGATGATATTACATTCAGGTGTCCCCCATTGACAATGTGATTGATTGGATATTCGATCATACACTGCGGAAACAGAAAGACTGGCCTAAAGTTGAATCATAGCGATTGCTTTATCAATCACTCAGGGCCTGTTGCGTTAGTAGTATTTCCCATACCCGATAGATCTGCGGATGATAAAGGGTATTTATAAGACTCAACACAATATGTTCAGGAGAATACTCCAAAGTGCCGAGTTCTGGAAACGTCAACCAATCATCATCAACAACAACGCCGAGGCGA